GCTGGGTGTTGCGTCCCCATCCCGAGCCTCTCCCGTCCTCGGGCCCCTGCAGCTGGGTAAGGGAGGGAGGCCGGAGAGGGACCAGCTACGCTGGGGCTGCCCCGCCCGGGCCTCGGGGACCTCGGCCTCCCACGACCCCCGCGGCCGAGTTGAGCAGTCGCAGCCTTGGTGGTGGAGCCGGGTCACCTACTAATGGAAGGACTTTTCCCTTAAAAGAAACTAAGGACTCTCCAAGCATCTGCAGAGTGGCCCGCCTGTAGCAGGGGACAGGTGGCCACATTGACCGCTACAGCGGTCTTCTCCAGGAGCATTTGGCCTCCGAGGCGCAGGACGTCCTTGGATGGGGGGAAAGCTGTGTCACGGCTGTGGTAGCCTAACAGCGTCCTGTCGAGCAGTAGATCGAATAAAGTATTAGCGTGGTGGTGCGTTGTCATCCTCTCCCAGGGAAATTGCAGAGGGTAGATACTGAGGGGGGTAGCAGAACAAATTAGGAAACAGTCACACTACATTGCTTTTCCCAGAATCTTTATTTAATTTTGAAGACTCGCAAATTTCAGTTCTGACACTTTGCCCATTACAAATGATTGTCCTCTCTGAGCTTCACAGCGTAATGTTACAGGAAATTGTTTCGCTTTTTATTTACCATGTATGACAGTAGAATTTTACCATAAAAGTGCTATTTAAGCGACTCCGCTGATTATTTTGTTTTGTGCAGTTGGGAAACTTGCTCTTAAAGTGATCTGGCACTGAACTCAGCAAAATAATTTGAAAGTAATTTAAATGAACAGTTGCTGGTAAAAGCCCATGCTTTCAATGGACATTTGACTAACCTGGCCAGTCGATGTATTTAGTAGTTATTTAGCTCTCTTTTTACTTCTTTACCTCAAATCACTTGTTCCTGCATCATTTAGTATGCGTGTGTGCATATGTATGATACATATATGTGTAATATATGTATATATTATACACACATATATATTATACACATATACATATATATGTATATAATATAATATACAATATACATATTTTTTCAAAGTTCTGTTTAGCTGGCCACTTGACTAAAAACTGCATTTGTGCTGTGATTCTGACACCTATCTTTCTTGTCTGAAGTGCAAAGCTTTCAGTTCATTTTAGTTTGAATCTTATTTAATGACTTATACTGGTTTGATTTGCCAAGGCGTAGTTCCACGATCTCTTGCGTTGTTTATCTTTTGATCATCAGGGCAGGTTTTACTTTGTCTTATATTCATATAAATGTTTATAAAGTAATCCTGAATCATAAGGAAGAGAGTCTGCTTAACCTGATTTGATTAATAAATAAAATACACAGTCTTCATTATGATCTTCCCAACTTGAGTAAGATCATTATGACATGTGTGCCAACTAACTGTGGGTTGATTTTTAAAGCCATATTCAAGATTTGCCCACACAAATGCCTGCAGGGGCCAGGCAGGTAGAAGGGGGGAGCAGACTGGAGAGTATACCCAGGCCAAGGAGTATACTACAGGCTTGTAGTTGCCAAGCAGGAACCCAAGTCCAAGGCTGCCAGATCTTCAGATTCTTTAAGAAAAGCTGGTGGTCTAGAGTTTTTCAGTGAAATCTTCCAATTTGTAAATGTTGGCAAATAGTTCACAAAGCACTGTGGGGGCCAAACCAAGCATGGTGATTGTTCTCAAGTTTGTACAGCCTTTGCCCTATATGAAAGTGGGTAAAATATTTCATAACTTTGCAGGCTTCCTTTTTAGAATCCAGCCTGGTGGTGCTTGCCTTCTTTTTGACTCTTCATTATTGCTGTCCATGAAGCCCAGCAATCTTTTATCCACTGCAGGTTGTTCCTAGTCTACCAAATTCTGTTGCCCAAAAGACATATTTCTACATTAATGGAAAAGGAAGTGATCGACTTCATATTACCACAATCAGTTGTTCAGTGTTTAACATGAACAACATGAAACTTCAAAAGTTCTTAAAAGTTCTGGTTACTGGTCTCTATCTGGCATGATCTCAATAGTAAGCCTAGGTGCAAATTCAGAAGATTCCCATCCTGCTTAGAGAATGACATATAAAAGTTGATCAGTAAAGTTGACTGCTCCTTGCGGAACAACTATAAAAGAATGCTTTAGAGATACATAAAAGACTTAGAGATCTGTGTGAAGGAGAGAAAAACTTGGGAATGGGTTAGCAAGGTCTTTTTTCCTGTGGTTATAAGGAAAGAGATTGCTAAGCCACTCCCTGCAAAACACAGATAATAGATATTTGCTGAATAAGTGCTTCAATCACAAGGTGATTTGCAGGAGTTATTCCAGTCATATTGTTTCACGTTATAATTATGACTCAAAAATAATTGCTTACCTTCTCAGGATATAGAGTACAGTGGATAAGAATTGTCACAAAGAAGCTTAAAGTTAAAGGTATTTAACTTAAAGTTAAAGTTAAAGGTATTTAAATAATTTCCCGACCATTATTTATTATATTTGCATATTTGATTCACTTTTCACAAGACCAATAACCTCTCCAAGCTTTCTTCTCCCTTTTTCTGTGTTAGCAATATTAGCTTTCTCCCATAAGAATAAGCTTAATTGGTGTTCTTTCATCTGAAGGAAGTGCCTCTGACCCTATATCCCCCATATGTGTTTCTGGAAATACTACTGTACCTCTAAACAGTGGCCATCTCTTAGTAGGCTTCCTGAAACCCTTAGTCAGAATTTCTCCCTCTTCCTAAAGCATTTTTTATACCTGTAGATAGCTCTTATTACCTTGTCCATTGTATTGTAATTGAATACCTGCTGTACTTGAGAGCAGGGATTTCCTCTTAAGCCTTGTTCATCTTTGCATTCCTTAAAACATCTTGGTCCACATGACAAATGAACATGTGGTATGTGCTTTGTTTACAGGGAATACTTTATGCATGTTTATTGAATAGATTTTTATTTCTCTTTAATAGGTCAATTGAATTTTAGTTCTGGTTTTCTTTCTTCCCTGGCCAAAAAATCTTAAAATTTACCGACTTGGGTATGTTTGATTACTTAAGTTCTTCTATTTCAGTAGTAGACCTGCAATTTTAGAATATGTTCATTTCTTTGTCAAGTTATCAAAGAATTAATCTTGGGGCCCTATGCATATGCTTTGCACTGAAGGAAAATTTCCAACTTGTCTGATAGGAAAGTGAACTGGGGTTGGCACATGGTTACTCAGATTGCAGAGTAGGAACTTCTTGGAAAGAGAATTAGTGTAACAGGTTTTAAGGAGGGGCCATTTCTTTATAAGACAAAAGTTTCGGTTTAAACAATCAACTTCCTTCTTTAATTTGGTAACACATTTTTTCTAATTAAGTTGAATTATATTTAAAAAGGTTTACAATGTGTTGTGACTTGAAATGGGTCAGGTACTGTGTTGAGGACTTTTCCATCATCTCATTTAATCCTCACTACAACGCTGTAATATAGATAGTACTAGTAAGCTCCTTTACACAGATGATTAGACAGTGGCTGACGATTGTGCCCAGGGTTGCAGAGTAACTGGTGAAAAGAAACTAGGATTTAAGTCCAGGTCTGTCATACTCTGAAGCCAGTCCTCCTAACTACTGCCTTGGGCTCCCCAGCTGCCTGGACTACTGTGAAGGGGGAGATGGGAGAATGAAGATGGCCAACTCCCCACCTATCAATCAAGTGTCTGTTCTGATTATGGTCACAAATGAATGAAACTTTGCCAGCCCCCACCCCTCAAAAACAAAAAAACTAAAACAAAAAAACCATGCTTACAAGTTAGTTTTACAATATATAAGAAATGTTGCCGTTCAATAAGTGCTGCAGGTTATTATCATTTTGTGACTCAGATTCAGCGGGTCCTGGGCAGGGCTCAGGTGTGTCACCGTGGATAATGGTTGCATAATCATTCTGTTCCAACAGCCAGTGTATATGAAGAATGACTAGAATTGTAGTTTCCTGCTTGTTTTGGCAGGAAATATTGCCTTGGCCCCAGTTGTCTCATCATACTTAGAGATCTCATAAGGCTTGTGGATGGATTTCCTCTTTCTTTCATTTATTTATTCACCAAATATTTATTAAGCACCCATTATAGGCCAGGGACTAATGAACAGTAAATTTGGTAAAATTAATTTGGCTCATAGCTGGAATGAGGCCACTCTTGTGATAATTAGAGTTGTGATTCTTTTGTTTCTTTTTTCCCCCACTACCCTGGCTTGTTTTCTTGCCCATCACATTATACAAGTGGCATGAACACATTCTCATCAGAGAGCTGCCACCCACTCCTGTCTGTCTTCTTGTCCCTCACTAGCTTAAGCAGTAAGAGCTTTCAATTTTGAGCTTCTTGAGGAGCAGAATAGTGTCTTTTCTTCTTCCCTGAAAGCCTGACTCAGCATCTGGCATGTGGTAGGTGTTCGTTTACATGAATTAACATCAGCAGTGAGGGGCCTACAGGATTCAGAACTCTTGGATTAAGAAGAACAGGAAGATAAAATTTGGAGGATCTTGGAAAAAAGTCAAATTGGCTTTATAGTAAACTATAGCTGTGTATAATAAACTATAGCTGTATTAGATGTACGCATATGCTATTAATACAATTTATTTTTAAGAAAAATATAATGCCATTTGCTATGGGTTTTTTTTTTTGTTTGCTTTTTTGTTTGTTTTTTTACTTCTGTGGCTTGTTGGTAGATGCCATTAGGCCTTTTCTGGTCAAATTTGCAATGTAATATATTTGTGGCTAGTATTATTTTAAGCAGTTATTCACATTTATGTATTATCATGGTGTTCTCAAAAGGGAGTTTACATTCCTGAATAATGTCTTATCACATAGTAAAGATTAGTGTGCCATAAAAGAGTAGGCTAGTAGGGAAAACACATGGGGAAGGAAATGAATGTGCATATTTATGAGGGGATGCCTGAATTAGTTATAGGATGAGTGAGGCAATCCTATAGAACAGTTACTGAGTAAGGAGCATTTCATCTCTCTGCAGCTCTCCTTATAAGACAGAGAATGCATGTGTTGTATAAACTTTTATAAAAACAATAGTAACAATAATAATAAGGTAGCAGTAGTAGCAGCAGCAGCAGTAGTGGTAACATATTTCAGGTATATACTATGTATCTGCACTGTGCTAAATTGTTTTCCTACATTAACTTTTCTTGTTTCTTCCGTTTTTAATTGCCCTTTCCCCAAAACAAAATCTGACATGGAGGTATGATTTGGTCTTAGAGAGGAATTTAGAACTGGTGGTTTCTTTTTTTTTTTTTTTTAAAAGATGACCGGTAAGGGGATCTTAACCCTTGACTTGGTGTTGTCAGCACCACGCTCAGCCAGTGAGCGAACCGGCCATCCCTATATGGGATCCGAACCCGGGGCCTTGGTGTTATCAGCACCGCACTCTACCGAGTGAGCCACGGCAGTGAGCCACGGCCGGCCCAGAACTGGTGGTTTCTAATTCTAATTTTATCACCTATTGGTGGTGGTGGTGGGAGTGGTAGTAGTAATAAAAATAGTAGCAGTAGTAGCAACAACCAAGGTGGTAATATCTTTTGGGTGCATACTGTGTGCCTGCCCTGTGCTAAATACTCTTCATAAATTATTTTTATTCAGTCCTTTTACAGAAGGAAAAGTTGAGGTTCAGAAAAGTTAAAGTCAAAGAGCCGACATGGGCAGGGCTGGAGCTTGGCATCCCAGAGCTCTGTGTCCTTCTGCGGCCTGTGCTCTGCCTCTGCGGCCTGTGCTCTGCCTCTGCACTACACTAAACTTGAAGTTCTCAGCCACCTTTCTGGCCCCAGTGGAATTCTGAGAATGGATCTCTTATCTTTAAGCTTATGACCTAAAATAGAAGCAACTGACTGTTGGCCATCTCCACTTAATGTGCCAGAGCACCACCTCAAAGACATATGGCTATGGCTTGAATGGATCCCTCATAATTTCATCTGTTGGAAACTTGATCCCCATTGTAACAGTGTTAGGAGGGTGGAAAATCCAATTATGGTATTTGAAAGGTGGAGCTTTTAAGAGGTGATTGGATCATGAGGACTATGACCTCTTGAGTGGATTAATTCATTCATGGAGTAACGGGTTAATGGTTTAATAGGTTATCAGGGAGTTAGTTGACCGGTGACTTTATGAGAAGAGCAGGTGAGCACATTAAAGAGCTCTTGCCATTTCTGCCATGTGATGACCGTGCATTACCGTGAGACTCTGTAGAGAGTTCCCACCAAGAAGGTCCTCACCAGATGTGCCCCCTGGAACTTGGACTTCCCATACTCCTAAGTGTAAGAAATAGATTCCATTTTCTTATAAATAACCCAGTTTCCAGTATTCTGTTATAAGCAACAGAAAACAGACTAATACACACATTATCTAAAATGAAATTTGTAATGTCATTACCCCTTCCTGTCCTGCAATTACTACTCCTACCCTATCCCTTGTCTTGTAAACACAGCCTACCTATAACCTGTCCTCCCTGAATGTTCCTCCTTTTCCTGCTAGTACCTCCTAAGTTAAATCTCTCCCTGCACTTGCACTTCACTTCTCTCAACCCCCACTGCTGCTGCCCTGCCAGTGGATCTCACCTGGATCACTACAGGCACATCCAGCTGCTCCCCCTACCCCAGCCTCACCCCCCTCTAATCCTTTCTCAGCAGCAGCTAGCACTGTGCACCTTGCTCATCTGTCTGCCCTGTATACCTGCACTCCTGTCCCACATAGACCCACTTCTGTTCAACCTGAAGTCTTAGTTTAGAAAGTTATCTCTTCTGAGAGCCCTTCTCTGACCTCCACAAGTCTGGGTCAGGTGTCCTTTCTCCTCTTCATAGCACTGGCAGTCCTGTGTTATACAACTTCTTTGCACTTGCTGGCACTTACTGGATGATTCAAAAATCATAATTAGTATTAGTGTACTTTTGAACGGGAAAAGTACTGAATTGGTATTCAGAAAACCTGGAGTTTAGTCCTGTTTGTAATTACTGTCTAATCTATTAGATATCACCTAGAAATATGGGAGCATTACATTAGGGTCATGGGTTTCAGTTGGTGTTGCCATTTGGTTTTTGCCTTGGAACTCCATTATTAATGAACCTCTTTTTTGGAAGAGTTGAAATCTGGAAGCTGAAGTCAGAATGTGAACTCTAAGGGAGGGCATGGTGGCAAGGCTCAGCTGGAGCTCTCTGTCCCTCTTTCCCAGCTGCAGAAGGGTCCAGAGATGCAGGGAGCACATTTTGAAAATGCTGGGCCAGAGGATTTCTAGCATGTTTTTTAACTCCCATAGACTCATTGTGCCTTTAAAATATTCCTTTTAATTTCTCTTCTTAAAGATAGTCTTATATTCTGTGCTGTTGTGCATTAGGAGTTTTAACTGACCTTTATGTTTGGTGAATTTGAAACTGGAAAAAGAGAAAAAGATGAGTATCTATAATTGTGTGGTGTTTGTCCCTTGCCACAGATGATTTTTTAAATTTATAATTGACACATAATAATTGTACAGCTGGCCAGTCAGTTCAGTTGGTTAAGAGTGCAGCCTTATGCCGCCAAAAAAAAAAAAGAGACTAAATAAATATTTGTACATATTTATGGGGTATGGTGTGATGTTTAAATGCATGTATACATTGTATAATGATCAAATCAGGGTAATTAGCATATCCATCACTTTAAACATTTATCATTTCTTTGTGGTAATGACATTCAAGATTCTCTCTTCAAATGGTTTTTAAGCAAATGACCATGCTAGAAATTTTCTTTTTCTTTTTCTTTTTTATCAGCACCACACTCTCCCGTTTTTTCTTTTTTTAAAGATGACTGGTAAGGGGATCTTAACCCTTGACTTAGTGTTGTCAGCACCACACTCAACCAGCGACCTAACCGGCCATCCCTATATAGGATCCGAACCCGTGGCCTTGGTGTTATCAGCACCACACTCTCCCAAGTGAGCCACGGGCCGGCCCCATGCTAGACATTTTCTAAAGCAAACTATACAGCCACTGACATCTTTAATTGACAAAAACTGACTAGCATTCTTGCTACTAGGCAATGTGTTCTCTATGTGGAGTTACCCTCTACCATAGAGTCTTAAGGAATATCATTAGCTTTCTTTTTTTAAAAAATTTTTTTGAAAAATTATTTTTTAAAGTGACATATAATAACTGTACATATTTATAGGGTACAAAGTTATATTTCAATACATGCTTACAGTGTGTGATGATCAAATCAGGGTAATAAGCACATCCATCATGTTATTTTTGTTTGCACATTTATCCACCTGCAGACAAATGGACTGCCAGGAGGCTTCATTATAATTCTTGTGCAAATCTAGATATATAAGGAAAAAGGTACTCTAGAACTTCACTGTCCAATATGATAGCCATTTGCCTCATGTGGCTACTAACAACTTTAAATGTGGCTAGTCCGAATTGTGGTAGACAGTAAAATACACACCAGGTTTCAAAGACTTAGTACTAAAACAGTAAAAGATTTCATTGATAACTTTTTATATTTATTACATGTCAAAATGATAATTTTGTAGATATATTGACTTAAATAAAGTGTTATTAAAATTAATTTCATCTGTTTCCTTTTACTGTTTTTTATGAGGAAATTTAAAATTACATATGTGGCTTGAATTATATTTCTATTAAACAGTGCTGCACTAAGAAAGTTGCCAGTTCCAAGAATATTAAATCTAAAAAGGGTCCCATAAGCTTAGGAGTGGTGCACATGGTCAGATCTTAAACACCTAAAGGTGGTGTCAATCTTCTCCTTAAGGTTCAGAGCTTTAACAAAGTAGAGAGGTCCAGGCTCCATCCTGTTAGGTCCCAGTGCTGTGTGATTTGGATGGCTTCATGCTCTAATGTGGCAAATAGAATTTACCAAAATCCTTCCCTTTTCTGTGCCTATTCCAAATGCGTATGAATCCATCTTCAGCATCCTGAAGTTAGCTTAGCTAAAACTAGGAGGAGATGGAAGGAGGGATCCCACTGCATTCATAGCTCCATCAGTCTGCAGTTTATTGAGGTCTTCATGAATCTAGCCAGCAAAAAGGGACACCTAACCCAGAGTCCTTTGGGGATTTGAGAGTAGCAGCGGAGCAGAGGTTATAAGAATGACGAGAATACAACTGTGGTTTCCTATTCAAGTTTTTCTGCCACATAACTGTTTTTCATTTTATTTGATACTTTTTCTCCTTATAAGTACCTGTAATACATCATATTTTTTCAGACAATCAGCAAATACGAGGGGTGTTCAAAAAGTTAAGGAAAGGTTCGTATTATCTTTTAATTCTATTTTTCCATGAACCTTTAGAAGTACTCTCATATTTATTGAGCACCAACTCTGTGCCAGACACTATTCTAGGCCTGAGGGGCTGACATCCTAGAGACATAGCCTAATGCTAAGTTGTGTAAATTACAGGGATATTACATGGGATTCTGCCAAGTGCCTTTTGTTTTTATGATGTGTCAAGTTAACCTTTGACTAGTAAGATATTTTATCTCCCCAAAGGACTTCAGAATTTGCCCTCTTGCTTTCGATATGTTTATCATTTCCTCCAGAAAAGGAGGGGTGTGTGATGGGGAGGGAGGGAGGCAACAAGTCACAGTTGTGTTTTCTCTTATTACTTTCTCTTTTCTTAGTCTACATTGAACAGGTAATTTTCTCCCACAGGAAACCTAGGCGTGGAAACACTTAACTAATTGGACGTGACTTTGCTGCTGCAATTACAGTGACGTTTGGAAGTTAATTTTAATTAAAATATGCATCCTTACTCAGAAAGAGTATTTTGGTACTCACATATTGGTGCTGCCAGGTGAAAAACAACATATATGAGCTGGCGGTTAGCTCAGTTGCTTAGAGCACAGCCTTACAACCCCAAGGTCACAGATTCAGATCCCCATACCAGCCTGCCACCAAAAAAAAGTAGAAAAAAAAAAAAAGGAAGGAAAAAGAACAAAAACAATATATATGAAAAAATGTTGCTAAGTTTTAAAAAGTGTTGTTTCAGTAAGCATTAAAATTGTGGGGGATTGTACAGCCACTTCTTTGTTAGCTTTCATCCATTGGTTTTAATGTTTTATATCAAGGGTCAGCAATTTATGACAAGTATGTCATGAGTGTTCAGCTGGATGGAGCCCAGTATACAGTTCTCCCCCCTGTGGACGACGGGGCTGTTTCGCTCTTTTAAGAGCTAGATGCATCACCACACTTCCCTACAAAGGAATTCACACAGCATGCATCCCTGTCTGGGACCTATGACCCTTTCTGTCTCCACATCCAAGATGAATGAGGAGTGGAACCTCAGGCTATCGCTATTAGCATTATATCAGCTCTTTTTCATTATTCTTGGTTTTCCTATTCTCTCAAGGAAATCTGTTTGGTTCATGTATGAACTTTCCTACAACCAGAAAGCTATTTTAGTTTTTAAGGAGTAAGGAATTGCCTCTTAATTTACCTTTATCTTCAATAGGTTTCTTTTCATCTTAAAGAGAAATTATTTATTTTTCTGCGGCCCACTTATTTCACTTAACATAATGTCTTCTGAACTTATTTCACTTAAGATAATATCTTCTGGCTCATTAAGGATTTTATTCTTTTTTATGGCCAAGTAGTATTTCATTGTGTTTATATATAACACATTTTCCTTATCTGTTCACACTCGTATGTGGGAGCTAAAAAAGCTGAGGTCATAGAAGTAGAGAATAGAATAGTGGTTTACCAGAGGCCAGGAAGGGTAGTGAGGAGGAAAGGGAGAGGTTGGTTAATGGATACAAACTTACAGCTAGATAGGAAGAATAAGTTCTAGTGTTCTATAGTACTGTTAGTTAACTATAATTTGCAATAATACATTGTATATTTTTAAATAGCTAGAAGAAAGGATTTTGAATGTTTTCAACACAAATGATAAATGTTTGAGGTGATGGGTATGCTAATTAACCTGATTTGATCATTACACATTGTATACTTGTATCAAAGTAGCACTCTGTATCCCCTAAATAAGTACAATTATTATGTGTCAATTAAAAAATAATAATAGAGAAGTAATTTCTGAAGCTGTCTTATAACTTTTCTGATTTCATCTGAAGAGAAGGTCTAACATCTTGCATGGCATTTCCTCTGAATGGACTATTCTATCAGTGAATTTCAGTTGCTAAAGAACTTTAAAAACCTTTGATATCTTACCTGCATTTTTACACTAAGATTGCAATTTTGTTTTTCAGGTTTTCAATTCAAAAACAGCTGAACTACTTAGTCATCATCAAGTGGAAATAAAACAAGAGTTTCCAAAAGAAGGGTATGTTTCCTGATTTAACACACAAAAAGACATCTTGCTTGTTAGTCCATCTCACCCCACCTGCCCTGTAGACTTGTAAATTTGGCTAAGACAGCCTCCTGAGAAAGATTTAAGGGATTAGCATTAGAAAAGCAGCAATAGCTTGGTAATTTAGCAAACACATGTGGGTAATTCAGCGACAGAAAAGAAAGAGATGATAAAATAATAGAGCAAAAAAGTATTAAATGTCAGAAATGCCACATTAACTTTGAAGTCATTTAATTCTCTGTCCCTATCATTGCCAAAGTGGTGCTTTGCTGATTTGAACATAAGATTTTTTTTTTTTTTTTTGTCCTTTTTGAGACCGGCTGCACCGCGCTCAGCCAAGTGAGGGAAAAGTGGGTAACTGTCTTAAATGTCACTGAGAGAGCAAAGAATATGAAGACAAAGAAGTGATCGTTGGGTTGACATCATAGGGACCAATATTGACCTTGCAGAAGGCAGGTCAATGAAGTAGAAGGGACAGATTAGAATAGTTGAACTAAGTGAACTAAGTAGAGGGTGGAAAAAAGTGGAGACAGTTATTTGAGAAATTTTATTGAGAAGAGCAGCAGAAAACTATAACTAGGAGAATATGGGGTCAGGAAAGATTACATTTGGTTTGCTATCTTTTACTTTTGTATCTTTTTTGTATTTTTAAAAGAGAGATGTAGGGACCAGCCCATGGCTCACTCGGGAGAGTGTGGTGCTGATAACACCAAGGCCAAAGGTTTGGATCCCATACAGGGATGGCCGCTTAGCTCACTGGGTGAGCGTGGTGCTGACAACACCAAGTCAAGGGTTAAGATCCCCTTACCGGTCATCTTCAAAAAAAAAGGATATCTGTTTTTATTACATATCTTACAATCTAATATTAACATCAACCTTTTTGGAAACAGTGTTTGTATGTAGTAATTGTGATTAAATATAATGTTAAGTATGTTATTTAAAATTTAATGATATTTATGATATGACCACTTTGAAAAAGCATGTGGCAGTTTCTTGTAAAGTTAACCACATACCTGCAACATCCACTCTTAAAAATTTACCCAAGAGAAATGAAAGCATATGTCCATAGAAAGACTTACACGGGAATGTTTATATAGCCACTTTATTCATAGTAGTTCCAAATTGGAAACAACCAGATGTCTGTTATCAGTAGGATGGATAACAATGGAAGCTATACGGAAATTTTTAAAAAGTGAACTGATACATGCAGCAACATAGATGCATCTCACTGATATTATGGAAGGTGAAAAAGTTGGCCTCGAAAGAGTACATACTGCATGGCTGTATATGAAATTCAAGAATAAGCTAAACTAATCTAGGACGATAGAAATCAGGAAAGTGGTTGCCTGTGGGGTGTGTGATTGACTTGAAATGGACACGAAAGAACTTTCTGAGGTGATAGAAATATTCTATATTTTCACTGGGATGTTGGTTAGATGGGTATGTACATTTGTCAAAACTCAGCAAATTTTGCACTTTATTTTTTTATTTTTATTTTTTTTGTCCTTTTTGAGACCAGCCGCACTGCGCTCAGCCAGTGAGCGCACTGGCCATCCCTATATAGAATCCAAACCCTCAGCAGGAGCGCTGCTGCACTCCCAGCGCCGCACTCTCCTGAGTGCGCCACGGGCTCAGCCCAAATTTTGCACTTTAAATCTGTGCATTTTCCTCTAAAGTTTACCTCAATTTAAGAAAAGGAAGGGCTGAGCCCGTGGCGCACTCAGGAGAGTGCGGCGCTTGGGAGTGCAGCAGCGCTCCCGCTGCGGGTTTGGATCCTATATAGGGATGACCGGTGTGCGGCCAGTCTCAAAAAGGACAAAAAAAAAAAAAAAAAAAAAAAAAAAAAAAA